TGTGTGTGTGTGTGTGTGTGTGTGTGTGTGTGTGTGTGTGTGTGTGTGCTGCGCATCATCTGATAAGGTGTTTGTTTACATGCACCACAGCGTCAGCGCATCGAGGAGAAAACCCTCTCCGACATGCGTTCCCAGATAATCGTATGTTCCAGAGTTCTGAGATGAACAGGAGCCAGAAAACATTCATGCTGCAGATTGTTCAGCTCCGCATGAAGGCGAGCCTTTTGATCATTGAGGCGTTCAGCCAGGAGATGTGGTGCTAAATGAAAACACGGCTAACTCGCTGACAGCAATTACTGAGATGTGGCTTCTTGCTACAACAGGCAGCGAGCAGGAAGGAGGAGTGCTCAGTCACCAAGACAAACGGGAACACTTTCCAAGAAAAACTCCCAGTGACGGCTGATCTGTAGAGCTGGAGCGCTCTTCATAATGTGTCCTTGTGCTATTCAGGCTTTACATGGATAATAGAGTGTTGAAAGCTTTTAAGAGAGTGATTTTCTTTTCACCCTCTTATACAGTAGTCACCAACGGAAGTTGGCAGGTTTTGGGTTAAGAAAAGAAAAAGATCTTTGTAGAGTCAGATAAGATGCTCCATATCTGTGAAGTCAGTTTATTAGAGGCACATAAAGCAGGAAAAACATGCTGACCTATATTCAGATCGCTGCCAACGAGCTCAAAACTAATTAGGGAAATTATGGGGTTAATTAACATAAGATTAAATATTTATCTTTCTGCAAAATGAAATAAAATAAATCCTCCATTTGTCTGGAATGATGGTTTAAGGTTTTGTGCAGAATTCTGATGGAAATATGGAGACCAGAACAGAAACGCTGGATGACTCATCCCTCACTGCTTCAGTAAGTCAGATGACAAACTTGATTTTTTTGTCACATGGGGGAAGCAGGGGCCTTATTTCCAGGAGGGTTAGGGGGGTTATGACCCCCCAATAATCAGACCCGACCAGTATAATGATGAATTATCTTGCATAAATAGGCTGTTGATTTTCTTTACTCATTTCAGTTATTACCAGCAAAATAGTTGCATGTTTAATCATCTGGGAATTTACCCACATTTATTTATTTATTTAGACAGAGATGTTGACCCC